CATTTCCTTTCTGGAGTCATCCTTCTTTTCTGTAGGGTTGTATTCAAGAATGTGGTGGTGCTTTAGTTGTAACCTTCTCGGAGGTGGTGATGTATTTTCCCTTTCCTTTATCTCTAACCATTCTCTTCTAGCTCATTTAGTCGCCAACCAGTCCAATTCCTCTCTAGCACTTTCCCGCCACCCCAAGCAGTTCGCATCTTTGCTAACATCACTTCCGACACGACTCGACCCGATCCGGGACTTGGAGTTAACCAAGACGGGAACGAATAATCGGACGATAAAAATCAATTCTCTGTTATTCTAATTCTAGTATTAACAATTTTATAATTAAATAATGCATGAAATAACCACTAAAGAAAATAATTAAAATTAATAAGTAAAAATTATATCTTTCTTCTTGTTCTCATTTTCTGTATACATTTGCTTTTCTTCTATTCCTCTTGTTCAAATGTTTAAAATCTATAAATAATATAAAAACAACATAATGTGTTATCGAAGATAACCTAAGAGTAATCACATTACTAAACTGCAGTAATCCTTGAAAAAAAGTACAATATGTATGCGTGTCTCTAAAAATTGTATAATATGTTGGTTTTTCAAATTTATTTATAAGCAATCTGATATATGTTTATAAGCAATCCGACATGTTTATAATCAATCTGATATATGTTTATAAGCAATCTGACACATGTTTATAAACAATAGGATATATATTAATACATGCATCAATTACATGTTCTAAATGAACAAACATTAATACTCCATATGCATTTATCTTAACTTTACTTTACTGTATACTTTATATGCACATCTCTCTGTGAGGATCATCGTCAACAAACCAAGCAGCACCCTTGACTGATATTTCCCGTTGCTTCTCGTCGGCACAACAGTTAGAGATCTACAGATCACAATTTTCTAGGGTAGAAAAACCATTACTTGCCTCTGACCGATATTATCTCATCGGCACATTGGTTAGTAATGTCAACATTATAATTGTCTGGGGAGGTAAGCTTTGGTCTACTTACCTCTGGCCGATATCATCCTATCGACACATGAAATAGTTATCTACCTATCACAATTATCTAGAGTGGTAGAAATAGTTTACGCGTGCAGGGATATTGATGTCCACTGCCTGCCATCAGAAGAGGGAACGCATTGGAGACCGACTTGGAATCACAAAACACTAAGAAAATCTGATTACCTAAGAAAATAACATGCATAAATATGGGAGGAAAAAGAAACAGTAAAGAAAAGATCCTAAGAAGGAAGAAGGTGAAACATGAAAGGGATTGCAACGACTAGGAGGGGAGGGGAAGAATAGGGTACCGGGAGAAGAGTGGGGGTGGGGGGAGCGGATGTGGAAAGATAGGGTACGGGTGGAGGAAGAGGGCGTGTTTTAAAACATTGGACCAGTTGGGTCCATGGGGAAGGCTGGATCAGTCCGATCCAGGGGGAAAGCTGGATCAGCTCCTTGTTTCGTCCTACCCATCGGTCTGTAAGTAGCCAGTCCCGCGTCAATCTATTGGGATTGGGGTAGCTTTGACAACATTTGTCGAAGCTGCTGGTTCCTCATAGTTTGGGGTGAGGTTCGCGACATTAAATGTAGCTGAAATTTTGGAGTTGCCTGGTAAATCAATTTTGTACGCATTATCATTAGCTTCTTAAGTATGCCGAAAGTTTCGTCGGCTCGATATTTGAGTTTCAGGTGCACTCCTACGAGAAATCACTCATTATTAAGGCGGATCCACACGAGGTCTCCTTTAAAGGTTACTTTTTTTCTAAACTTGTTGGCCTGTGCTTGATATTTGTGGTTTTGTTTAGAAATTGCTCTCACAACATCCTCGTGGAGCTGCTGAATTTGTTAGCACGTTCGATATCATCCTTGCTAATCTTTGCCAGGAGTAGAAGTGAGACCAACTCAAGAGGTGTGATTTAGTTGCAACCATACATAATTTTGAATGGAGTATGTCATGCAGTCTGGTTTATTGATCGATTGTAGGCAAATTCGGCTTGTGCAAGAATGAGATCCCATTGTTTGATGTTTTTCCCCATAAAGCATTGAAAAAGGTTCCCAATGTTCTGATTAACTATTTCGGTCTACCCATTTGTCTTAGGATATGCCACAGAACTAAATTGGAGTTTAGTGCCTAATTTTCCCTAAAGGGTTTGCCAGAAGTGATTCAAAAAATTGACGTCGCAATTGGAAGTGATGGTCCTGAGAATGTAGTGTAGTCGTATAATCACACGGAAGTATAAATCGACTATATGAGATGCATCTAGTATTCAGTGGCAGGCTACGAAATGCGTCATCTTGGAGAAATGGTCAACTACTATCATGATAGAATCCTTGTTCCTTTGTGTGCGTGGAAGTCCTATGACAAAGTCCATGCTGACATTGACCCAAGATACCTGAGGCACGATGTCGGTAAAGGCTAACTTGAAACGTGTGGTACAATTCAAAATCATTTAATCGTAGACCCTTCTGTAAAATGGACCATGTCGTTCATCCAAAATGTTAAAACCCCTTAAGAAGGTTATTCATATTATCCAACTCATTCAAGAGCAAGTAGAAAAGAAAATAAAAAACAGCGCAACTAACAATGGATGGCATTAGAATACCAACATAAATTTTTTAATTCATCTCTTTTGAAAATTTGATAAATGTTTTTTCACCAAAAAAAAAAAAAAAAAAAAAGAGGAAAATCTTATTAAATCTTTTCACCTATGCTTGTCTCAAGAGCTCTGCGACTACTTATACTTACAGCCCATGCCGGTCATCATGTGATTTTTATCCTCCATATGAGTTACATCTGAGATTGTTCTAAAAATAAAATAAAATAAGAAAATGCTTAAATCAAAAGTCTACCATTCACTTACCTCCCGAACTCCCTCGTTCTCTCTCATGTTTTCTTCCTTCCAGTTGCGGCTGCTTATCAGATCGCTCGCTGACTTTCATGCTTTTACCATCATAGTAGCAATCCTCTCTCCTTTTGCCTGACCTACTCTACTTGTGTATGTTGTTGGCCATTCACGTACACTAGTAGCCACCTTTGCAAATTCTAGCACAGTGCCATGGTGTCATTGCACTTTGCTTGCAATCCCTCACCCAATGAGCCACCTTTGCTTTAGCATTTTAGCACAGCGCCATGTCTGATGTTGCCGCACTTCTTTGCTTACAATCCCTTGCCCAATTCTTTTAACCTGCACGTGCCCAAGCACACTTCATACTTACCCATCCTTCACCTCAATTTCCTTATTCTATTTCTGATGACTTTCAAACCGTCTTGTCCAAAGCTCTGGTCAATTGATAAGGCATAAAACCCTTTGTTCATGAAAGATGATTTAAAATAATTTTTCTAGGCAAGCATCTTCCCGAGGTCTATAACATCTTCTTAGACGGTGTAACTCATAAACATTTTAAAGATTTTTTTAGTCATATTAGGTTGCTAAATTACTTTGATTAAGTGGACCAAAATAACTTGAGATGATGGAACCTCCAGATCTTGATCTTGATTGGTTTGTCATTATTCCCTGCAATATTCACTATTAGTTAAAGGTGATAAATTTCATGAGTCCAAATTTAAAATTGTTGCTATTATAAACTATGTAATTAGGGTCTCTTAAATCAAAATTCTCTCTCGTGACCAGTAAAAATAATTAACCATAGGAGTTTTTTTTATGAGAAACTTGAAACCAGATCTTGAACTGCTTCTAAAATGAGGGTGTAATTTTTGGGTTGTATCTCATCTGTAATCTAATCAATTTCTGAAACGAGGGTGTTATTTTTGGGTTGTGTCTTGTCTGTAATCTAATCATAAAAAAGCTCAGCGTGACCTTTTGAAGCCCTGAATGCTTTTTCTGCATTTGCCTCATGTGGTTAGGTGTAGATGATCTTTATTTTGCCCATTACTTGCAGCACACTGCTGCCACCACTGGTTGCTGCTGTCATAGTGCTTCAGAATGTAGGAAAATGCTTATATAATTGCTCGCTGGTTGCATCGCTCAAGTTTAATGATAAATTCTGTCAACCTGTCATATTGTTATGCAGCTTTGCTTATAGTGAATTATATACTAGCTTTTGGATGCAAATGTAGCTTGTTGACTTAGATTCCGGATTTTCTTTGCTTGTATAAATACAAGGTATAAACCAAAATTTGGCATATTATAAAAATTGAGTTTTATTTATTTATTTATTTATTTTTCCAGTATCACCAATCGTCACCTGGGGTGACATTTATGCAAATCATGACACTACCCTTTTATGTGCCAAACTATTACGTCTACACTTCATTGCTGTGATTTTGGCATTGGTTTTTCTTTTTTTTCTAACCAAATCACAGTTTTTATTTATATATAATTTTTTTAGTCGTGTTATTCTTGAGTTTTTCCTCACTCTATTCTATCCATGTCCCCTCAAAGTTGTCTGAAGCAGACTATAGGCAGTGGAGCTGTTGTATATTTTGTGAAATTTCCATTCAGTTCCTCTCACAACAAAGCAACTATTTTATCCAAAAGCCTAAAAATTATATAACTTCTTTTTTTGCGTTATTTAATTTTGAATTTATTATGCGAATTAGAGGGTGTACAACAACTAGCGGATACACTGATCTCATTGATGCTAAATATAAACAACCTTGTCAAAGATAGAAGCAAGCTAGTATTTGGTACAATATGCTGCTTAAAGACTATTTTAGCGTATACTGGAAATTGAGTATCTAAAGGTGCATTTATGGTCAGAAATTTGAAAATGGTCATAACATATGACTTTAGTATTAGACCCTACAGATGACATTGAAAAATTTACCCTTGCTATTTGTCCCCAACCCTTTAATACAGTAATAAAAAATTGTTTTTTTGACAGCAAGCCAAATTTTCATTTTGTGTTTTGATGCAGAGTAATACCTGCTGAAATAAAAAATGTTACCTTCACATCAAAAGATTGAAGTATTTTCCTACATTTATGTCGTTAACTGCGGTATTTATTTTATTTGTTGTTATAGCTGCTGTGCCACAAAACCAATCTAACGGGTACTTACTGATTGCTACAAGCGGGGGACTTAATCAACAAAGAACGGGGGTAAGAAGTAAATTCTTGTTTACTTTATCTTCTTGCTCGCTTCTATCTCCCTCTCATGCTCACACAATATTGTTGCTGAAAAGCCCAAGGGCTGATTTTATTGAAATGGAAAGCATACATAAGGTTGTATGAGATAGTCTAAAAGAGGCACCATACCCATATGATACAAGTACAGTAATACCCCAACAAAAAGATATAGATAGACTCAATAAAAAGTAAAACAAATTTAAAACATGCAGAAAACAAATAGCTAGGGACGAACCAGTTTAGTCCTGCATCTTCCTCTAGTTTTAGGAGCAGAGCCAGATAACAAACTTTGAAGAGTTGTGCCATTTTCAGGAGTAACTAATGTATCATCCATTAAGTTTCCATGTTGGAGTGTGCCCTCAAACTTTTTCTTTTGCCGAGAATTGTAAACCTGCCATTCTTTATGTGAAGATTGGCTCATGTGATCCTCAGTCTGATTTGATGTTAGAACCGTTGCCACCGCGATAGGTTTTAGTGTATGTGAAGTTTAAATTGTTATCTCTGCACCTGCTGCTTCATGAATATGAGTTGCGGGATTATACTGATATTCGGTTCGAACATTATCCGTTGTAGTATGGTCAAGAGAAGAGATTCCAGGAGAAGATACCAACTCTTGTCTTGTGGTGATTCCCTCTTTAGGTTGACTGTCATCAGGTTTGCTGGGAGCGCGTTCAGACACGTGCGGTGCACTAATAGCGTGTTCTTGCATTTGACTATTGGTTCTTAACTATGTGTGCAATCTGAAATATTTCTCCTGCGGGTGTCCAAACATCTTGCAGTGCTTGCAGTAGTAAGATTTTTGTTCCAATTCCAAAATGATTTTTTGCTAATTTTTTGCTAATAACCATTGTGAGTAGATCCAAACCAGACTTCTTCTTTATATGGTAGTGTAATATCTCTTTTAATCAATCATTGCAATAGAGGGCCTTGAGAAATGAACTGTAGGTAAGTCTATCTGCAAAGATTTTCCAAGGATAGTCCCAATTGCATATAAGATAGGTAAGTTAAAAAATTGAAGCTTGAGTTCAGGTAATGAGAATCAGATAGGTGCATAGGTGCAATTGAGGGGGTGCAATTGAGGGTTCTTGACTGGGATCAAAGTTAGGGGTTCATTTGAGCAATTTCATATGTTTGCCCTCGATTGTGATGAATTTCTTTGAGAAAATTGCGATGAATTACTTCTATGCTCAGCTGTATCATAACATGCCTTCCGTCAAAATGATCCACTTGCCAATCCATAACCAATTTGAAATCTTAAAAAACCTTCCTGATGATTTCCATCTTAGGGCAACCTAATTGAAACTTTTCAACTAGTTTAAATTTGTATTTTCCTGCACGAATTAAAATTTCAGCGTCAGAGAAGAATATTGCTGGTTTGTCTGCCTTTTTTTCTACTTTATTGATAAGATTGCAATCGCCATTTCCTGCAACAGAATCGTGATACATCTGCTGGAATACCAGACTATTTGTGAGGTGGAAAGGGGAGCTGCGTTTGTGAACCATTGTAGCATGAGAGGGTTTGGCGAGATTATCGCCGGTGACGGCGGCAACGTAGGAAAACCCTGAGGCCATTAGCATGCTTCTCACAAGCACTGCAGCAGATGGCGCAAACGGTGCTCGAGCAGTCGAGCAGAAACTGTGACGGAGCAATCGAGTGGCGTTGACGAACCTGCAGCGTGAAGCACCGCAAATGATAGACGAGAGCAGACGACGCAGAAGGAAGACGCAACAGACTTGACGCAGCAGACGACGCAGCAAGCGAGCAGGCTCGACGACGCGAACTCTTCCGCCAGCCAGAGTCGAAGACGAAGACGGAAAGGATCGAAACGAGCGAGCATATATATATATGTGTGTGTGTGTGTGTGTGTGTGTGTGTGTGTGTGTGTGCTGAAGTTGGGAATTGTCCAACTCAATTTCATTGATAGGAAGAGGGGTATTTAAACTCAATTACAATAGATATAATAATGAAAATTAATAAAAATATAATAAAATAACTAGAACAGAAATGAAAATATAATAAAGCAAAAGAGTAAATATATAGTCAGGGAATAGAATTAAATAATTAATAAAGGTGTAGGGATAACTGTTATAATCTAATACTTCCCTTTAAGTTGATGCATAGATGTTAGTTATGTTCAACTTGGACTTGAAGTTATCGAACAAATAACGAGGCAAATTCTTAGTGAGAATGTTCGCTAGTTGATGACTGGAGGACACATATAGAACGCGAAACTTCCTAGTCTCAATCTGTTTCTTAATTAAGTGTATGTCGATATTTACATGTTTGGTACGATCGTGCTGGATTGAGTTGTGAGAAATGCTGACTGCGTCTTTATTATCATAGAATAGGTGCAGCGGGACAAAGGCTGACATACAAAGTTCGTGGAGCATGATGCGTGGCCAGAGGGCTGCATAGACTCTTAAGGGCATGAATTGGAATTCATTTTCAGCACTGCTTCGAGCAATCAGACTATTTTTTGCTTTTCCGCGTGACAAGATTGCTCCATACAGATGAACAATTCCTTGAGATGGAACGTCGATTATGAACTAATCCGACTCAATCAGCATTTGTATAAAGAATAATAGACCGAGAGGTGTGGAGGGAAAAAAATAAATCAGAGCTTAATGTACCTTTTAAGTAGTGGAGAATCCAGTAAATAGCTTGAAGGTGGTACTTGTAGGGGTCATGCATGAATTGACTCACTATTCTAACTGCGTGATATATGTCGGGGCGAGTATGAACCAGGTAAATGATTTTTTCCACAAGGCGTTGGGAATGAGTTTTGTTGACAAGTACAACATTATGAATCACAGATAATTTTTTATTAAGATCCATTGGAACAACAACAAATTTGCATAGAAGTGTTGTTCTTTGTCAGAAGGTCAATCATATATCTAGGCTGAGACAGGCAAATTCCTCGAGAGAACCAAGCCATTTCCGTGCCTAAGAAGTACCAGAGAGATCCAAACCCTTCATCTCGAAGGACGAAGTAAGAATGTCTTTTAAGGATGTAAGAATAATATTGTCAACGTAGACAATAAAAATAGCTAACTGGCCATTGGAGGCGTGCCGAAAAAAGAGTTTGTGATTCTATTGAGCTTGAGTAAAGCCATGACCCATGACCACATTTGTGAGCTTGCCAAAGCAGACCCTTGGGGATTACTTTAGCCCATAAAGGGGCTTTCGTTGACTGCGCACTTGTCCTTGGAGGCAGTAGAATCAATACTTGGAGGGAGAGACATGTAGACCTTTTTTTTCAGCTCACCATTCAAGAATGTATTCTTGACATCTAGTTGAAATAAATGTCAATCTATATTCGCTGTAGTGACAACAAGACTCAAATAGTGTTTAACTTAGCCACTGGACCAAATGTATCCTCATAGTTAACTTCGTAGATTTGTGAGTATCTTTTGGCGACCAATCTTGGCTTATTAAGTTTAAAGGACCCGTAAGAGTGAACTTGGTTCTAAAAATCCATCAGCGCCCTACAACTTTCTTAACACAAGGAAGTTCCACGATGTCACACGTATGGGTCTCCTGAAGGGCATTCATCTTCTCCATTGTTGTCGTTCTCCAGGCTCCAGGCTAGATCAGCAAAAGCAACCTCAATAGTAGCAGGGATCTGATGGTCCGTCAGGGCAGTAGCAACTGCTCTGTAGGTCGGCAATAAATTGTGAAAAAACACCTATTTTTGCCATAGAATAGAGGGGGCATGTTTGATTTCGTACCTTACCATGAGAACTCACCTCATTTGGAGGAGGGGTTGTGCTGAGGATGTTGCTTGGAGTGGAATCAAGGTTTTGCAAGGAGGTAGCGGGTTCCTGAGTTTGAGCATTGGGACGTGTGCGCCGAGTGTAGACACTGATTGTGGGAGGAGATGGTGCACTCAACAGGACAGGAGACTCCGAGTCGGGGTAATGTTCCGAACAAAGGCAGTACATCCAAATATTTTGAGATCAAAAGTGGAGAAGACTCGATTGAGAGGGAAGCATGACCTCAGGACGGTTAAGGGGATTTGAAACTTGTGAATTTTAGAGGAGACTCTATTTATAAGATAAGTGATAATTAGAATGATACCATTCCAAAAATATTTTAGGACATTAGATTAAAACATAATTGAGCGAGTAATATCGAGGAAGTGACAGTTTTTTCAGTCGGTTTCCTTATTTTGTTGAGTGACCGTGCAAGAACTTTGCTGGAGGATGCCTTACAAAAAATTCGTTTAAAATAGAATTGAAAAACTCACGACCATTATTAATTTGATAGACTTAAATAAAATTTTTGAATTGAGTTAAGACAAAATCTAGAAGTTTTGGAAGGTCACAATAACTTCAGATTTGTCTTTTAAAATTTAGACCCATGTCATTCAAGTGTGGTCTTCAATTAAGGTCAAGAACCACTGTTTATTGGTATAGTTGGGAATGCGAGAATGTCCCCATCTGTCATTGTGAATGAGAGATAAATGAGCGAAATGTGTGTAACTGTGAGGTGGGTAATGGACCTAATAATTTTGGCTAACCGACATGTCTCACGATTGAACTTAGAGGGATTTTTATTAGAAAATATTAGAGGATGCAAAATTTTAAATATTATAAACTAGGATGACATAAACAACAACGTAATAACATAATGAGACATTCAATAACTCGAGATAGACTCAACTTTTTAGAGTCATGTCTTCACTCTCCGTGTTGTCCTGTTGGAAGTAGTCAAGTCGAGTTACCCTTTCTAATTATCCTTCCCGAATGACGATCCTGAAAAACACAATCATTAAAAGAGAAATGAGCAACACAATTGATATCATCTGTTAACTTGCCTACTGATGATAAGTTACATTGCAATCGCGGAACATGTGAAACAGACTCCAGCTGGTACAATCGACCCTTTACCGACAATGGAGCTACACGATCTATCGACAATTCTGACGGTATTTTTTCCAAAGCATGTGTAGTAAGTTGACAAAGCTTGCGAG